AAAGAGAAAGAGCTGCCGATATGAAACGAAGAAATGGCGCATTAATATATAATATATTACCGCCTCACGTAGCAATTTATTTTCTCTCAAGAGCGAGGCATCACGATGATCTTTATAGTCAAAGTTATGCCGAAGTCGGTGTATTATTTGCAAGTATGCCCAACTTTGCCGATTTTTACAGCGAGGAAAGTATCAATAATCAAGGACTCGAATGTCTAAGGTTCCTCAACGAAGTTATTTCCGATTTTGATGCTGTAAGTTTAATAATTGAAATCTGTTATAAAACGTAATCGATACAATCGTATGTTACATGTATTTTCATTTGTATTAGATCTTGGATCAAAACAAATTCAAAGACATCATTAAGATCAAAACAATAGGCTCAACTTACATGGCTGCCTCGGGTATAACTGAATCCCGAGAGTCTGAGGATAGTCCACGATGGACTCATTTATCGATTCTCGTAGAATTTGCTTTAGAATTAAAAAAAGCTCTTTCGGGAATCAACGAACAGAGTTTCAATCATTTTGTCCTAAAAATGGGTATCAATCATGGCCCGGTAACTGCTGGTGTGATTGGTGCTAGAAAACCTCATTACGATATTTGGGGTAACACGGTAAACGTTGCTTCGCGAATGGAAAGCACCGGAAAAGTTGGATGTATTCAGGTAAATATAAACATACATTTATATATTTAATTTATTGTAAAAGAGAAAACAATGATGGAAATAATTGAAAGAGCTAATTAATCAATTTCTAGGTTACTGACGAGACCCGAATGATTTTGGAACCTTTTGGATTTGGTTTCGAACAACGTGGCCTCGTCTTTGTCAAAGGAAAGGGTCAACTACTCACTCATTATTTAGTATCTAAAGATGGTGTGTCCCTTGAACTTGACAGTGATCTTCCTGTTGAGCCGACTCATCCAATTATTTATCAGTAATCAAATTGGAGGCACTAATATCATCAGAAATTAATCATTTGTCGATCTTTCATCGATTGTTCTGAGAAGAATGAAGAATCAGAAATTAGTTCACACTTGTTCCTTTCTCTATTTCTCTTTTCTGTATTTTTATTTTTTTCTCTCTTACCCTCTCTCTTTCTCTCTCTCTCTCTCTCTCTCTCTCTCTCTCTCTCTCTCTCTCTCTCTCTCTTTCTTACTCTCATTCTTCCTCACCCTTATCCTGTTTCTCTCCATCTCTCTCCAATTCATTCTAGTCTATCATTAGAACTTATTATTCGTGTTCGTGTCATATATATAAACAATTACTGATTAAAGTATATACTTAAAATAAACCGCGCAAAAAATTCAGAAATTAAATAATCTCATTATTTTTAAAGAGATCGTAAACTCGAGCTTCCTCTAGCCGATGTAATTTATTTTTTTACATTTCTGAATAATCGAGTTTATCATAGCACAAAATGACACGAGTACGTGTAACGCATAGAGTATATTACATTAAGAAGAAAAAATAGAGACAACAAAGAGAGAAAGAGAGAGAGAGAGAGAAAAAAGAAAAAGAAAGAAAGAAAGAGAGAGAGAAAGAGAGAGAGAGAGAGAGAGAGAGAGAGAGAGAAAGGGTGTGTAGAGGTGGGTGATTAATGAATAAAAAGCAGGTAATAAAAAGTTATCAGAAAAAGAGAAACGAGAAAGTACGGCCTAAGCGCGAATGAAGCGAATAATTAAAAAAAAAATAAAAATAAAATAAACACAGAATAAAAATTATAGGATGATAAAGGGGGAAAGAATAGCAAGCATTTAAAAAAAAAAGACGTCGGTATCTTCGATATAGAAATAACAGAAAATTTTTCATTTATATGAAATCTATTTCCTTTTTTCTTTTCAGAATAATCGTGATTCTTTTGTTGCTACTAGGTACGCTGATGATAAAAATTATCTCTAAATAAATTATATTGTTTAAATGATTAAAACAAAACAAAAAAATACTTAGGAAAGGAAGAAAAATGAAAAAGACAAAAAATGGAATTGGTCCTTGGAAAATTAATTGACCTTGACGAATTTCTCTTCGAGTTCGAGCATAACGAAAAAATAACTAAATACATACACACATACATACATACTTCCACGTTCTTTCACTGATCGCTCTCTTGTAAGCAGTCGATGACGTATTTACATACATACATACACACATACACACATACATATGTGCAAGATGCGCTTATATCGCGCATATACGCGTCTGTACGAAAAAAAAAAAAGAAACAACTAAGAAAAAAAGTTAATTTAAAAAAAGCAAGTGAATACGTAGAACGACACACACACATACACAAGGACAAGTATACATATACTTACTACACGAAAAACATACATATTCGCGCGTGACAGACGCTTTATGCGGGATTTCTGTAAAGTAGCAATAAATGGAATTTCGTGTACATAATCGATTTATTGATATAGGTACGACGATTGGGAATCGTGATCGGAATATAAGTAAGTAAGTAATAGATTTCTTTCAATTTTGAAGAAAAAAAAGAACAAAAAAAAGGAATAGCGTAATGAGAAACTAAAAAGAAGAAAAAAAAAGGAAAAAAAAAAAAGGGAGAAAAACTATGAGCGAGAAAAAATTGTATGTATAATCCTGTACGATGAATAAATCACTGTAGATATCTTAGCACCTTTAGATGTGAAGGAAAGATCGAAAATATTACGAAATTATTATTATTTAAGGATTCTCTCTCTCAGCATTGTCGAGATGAAAAGAAAATCTAAAGAGCACACATTACAAACACACATCATAACCAGACACAAAGGATATAATATGTACACAAAGATTGATTATGAAGATAAATGGCGTGAAACAACCCCGTCTTTAAATCTAATTGAAATAAAAAGGTATCTTTACTGGCATACAATAAAAAAACACTATCGATCACTTACGAGCACGCTAATCACCTCTTTTTACTTTTTTCTTTTTTTTTTTTTAATTCTTTTTTCCCACACAAAGCTATATTCTTTAACGTTCAATTATTTTTGTTCAACACTTTATGAGATAATACAATAATTCTTTACTATAATATAAAAAAAATAATATTACCGTTGGTAGATCGCAAACATATTTATATAAGTAAATATATATATATTATATATATATATATATGGAATTAATGGAAAAAATTATCAACGCTTTGAAACGATTCATCTTTAAAATCTTCTTGATGATATTTCGGCTGCAAAGATTAAACCATTGAAAATGGTTATTGCATATAACTTACCTATACGTCTAAGTTGAGTCACCTGGCGCATAGAACTTTTTGCGCGTATATTAAAAGATATCCAATAGATAGGCTAATTTTGAAAATGCCTAAAAATCATCGCAAAAACGAAATTTCATGACCTAGACTTTCTACGTAAAGGAAAAAAAAAATAGAAAAAAAAAAATAAAGAATAAATAAAAACATATGTTTTTTTCGTTCAATTAAAATAAATATATATGGGTTAGGTATCATCGATTCTTAAAACAAAGACTTCTCGAGATTTTCTCATGACGTAA